ACACAAGCTAGTATCCTTTCGGTCAGCTGCAGCCAAAATGAGCGTGAGTTGGAGCGGGGCTGGATCGGGAACATTCATAATTTTTTTTAACTTTTTCTCTTTTTTTCTTTTTTACGCTCCTATCTAGTCGTGGCGAGCAGCACGTCCCTTATAATCACAAGTACATGCGATTACAATGAATGTGATGATGATGATGATGATGATGTGGGGGATACAGAAGTCTTCACTCGAATAGAACGCCCGGTTATTATAGCTGTATCTCGACTGAAAATTAAACCAAATACGGGTATGATCGCGCTTTCTATTTGGGTGACGAAGGTAGTTTAGAAGTTTTCTAAGAAAAAAAATCTACGAAATTTATGAACAACTCCAACCCTACTACGGGCCTCATTAGACACTCCTTATGAGTTCTTTGAGCCACAAGGAATTTTCCTTGTGGCTCTTAAGGAAAATTTGCTGTGTCATTCCACACATCCTTGGGGACGTCCCCCGAGGAAGTTTCCTTGTGGCGTGGGCGTGGCCGTTTTTATACGAAATTTTGTGGCTGTTTTAATACGAAATTTGTGGCCGCGGGGTGGTCCACCATTTCTTGTCCGTGTGGAGGCGGCGCCGTCCCCTTCCACCCACCTACCGCTGGCGTCGTCGCTGGAGTCCATCGCCGTCGACCTTTTTCCACGTGGAGTGCGCCGTCGTACGCATTTCCGCCAGGAGGACTGCATCCAAAGAAAGGCGGCAGCTTCGTCGGACGTCTTCGGCTTTTGATCTGCCGCGTGGAATGTCAACACATACAGCAGTGGACGGACGGATCCGTGTGGAGGTTGCGGCTATGGACGGCGGCGGAGAGGGTGGACGTACGGCGTTTACACCTCTTGAGGGGGAGGCCGTGGCGGCGGTCGTGTCCACCGTTGTTCTTCGATGTCAGCAGAAGAGGGCGCTGGGACGAATGGAGGCGCAGTTGCATGCGCGTAGACACAGGGCATTGACGCAAGGTCGGCATGAGCTTCTCGACGTAGTGGCGACGTCGGAGGCTGTCATTCACCTGTGCTTCGCGTGGGTTGCTAAGTGCTTCCACGAGTGACGCCGAGGTGGTGGATGAAGTGAAGGACTGGAAGCATGTGGCAAGACCTCAGCCAATGCGACGACTCGACAGACGGCTACTTCCGGGAGTCTCAGAAGCTACGCATGTGGCCGCAAATGTTCTGGGAAATCGCGGAGGCATGTGCGCCTCATCTTCAGCAGCGGGTGACATTGTACAAGGAGCCTTTGCAGCCACACCAGATTGTGGCGTATGCACTATACAGGTGGGCGTGCGGGGAGACCTACGAGAGCAACACCTGCAACTTCGGAATTGGTAGAGCTTCTGGCCTGGTAGCTGTATGTGGCATGACTGCCGTGCTGCTTCGGGTGTACGGAGAGAAGATTGCCTGGCCGACTGGAGTTCGCAAACTCGTTATTCTGCGGGTGTTCGCTGACAAAGGGTTCCTCAATTGCCACTGTTGCATTGACTGCACTCACATCTACGTCGACAAGCCAGCGAACGACCGGAGCGAAAACTTCTATGCTAGGAAGCGGTGTTTCTCCATCGTTGCGCAGGTCATCGTCGACCTGGACTTGTGTACTTGATGTGCACATGGGATACCAGGGTAGCTGCCATGACATCAGGGTGCTCAAGTTGTCCAGCCTGTGGAGGCGCGCGGAGTCCGGGTCGTTGTTTCGTGGTCCCCATGTGACACTCCCCTTCGGGGCGCGGACGAACGGCTACGTTTCGGCGGACAATGGGTATCCCCCTTCGGAATGGATGGTCGTCCCCTACGGAGGCTTCAATCAGCATGTCGACGAGGAGCA